TCTTATATTATTAACTATATTCTCTATTCTGTACTTTACATCCATGACTATTTATAACTACCAATTTGTACTTCTTAATCCCTTCACCTTTTTCACCCAGCCCCAAACCCATTCCATCAGTTTGTTCTCTGTGTCTATGAGTCTATTCCTGTTTTGTTTGCTCATTTATTTTATGTTTTATATTGCACATATAAGTGAAATCATACAGTATTTGTCTTTCTCAGTCGGATTTCTTTCACTTAATATGCTATCCTCTAGGTCAATCCATGTTGCCACAAATGGAAAGATTTCATATTTCTTTATGATCAAGTAATTTTCCATTGTATATAAGTACCACCATGTTTTTATTTGCTCATCTATTGAAAGGCACTTGGGTTGCTTTAATATCGTGGCTATTGTAAATAATGCTGCAGTGAATAGGGGTGCACATGTCTTTTCAAATCAGAGTTTTGGGTCCTTTGGATATATACCCAGAAGTGGAATTGCTGGGTCATAAGGTAGTTCTATTTTTAATTTTTTTGAGGATCCTCCATACTTTTTCCATAGTGGCTGCAATCTGTATTCTCACCAGCAATGCATGAGAATTCTCTTTCCATCACATCTTCACCAACACTTGTAAATTTATTGATAGCCATTCAGACAGTTGTGAGGTGATATCTCATTGTGGTTTTAATTTGCATTTCTCTGATGATTAGTGACATTGAGCATCTTTTCATATGTCTATTGACCATCTGTATGTCCCTCTTTGGAGAAGTGTCTATTAAGGTCCTCTGATCATTTTTTAAATTGGATTGTTTTTTTGTTTTTGTGGAGGGTTGTTTTGGTGTTGAGTTGTATGAGTTTTTTAAATTTTGGATATTAACTCCTTATCAGATGCATCATTGGCAAATTTCTTCTTCCATGCAGGTTTTCTTTTGATAGTTTTATTTTGATAGTTTCCTTTTGCTGGGCAAAACTTCTTAATTTGATGTAATCCTATTTATTTTTGTTTGCTTTCTTTCCCTTGCTCAGGAAGATATATCAGGAAAAAAATATGCTAAGAGAAATGTCAGACAGTTTACTGCCTATGTTTTCTTCTAGGAGTTTTATGGTTTTGAGTCTTACACTTAAGTGTTTAATGCATATTGACTAGTCTAGTTTCATCTTTTTTGTATATATCTGTCCAACTTTCCTAATACCATTTATTGAATAGACTGCCTTTATCCCATTGTATGTTCTTGCCGTCATGTATTGATTGATCATACCAGGAGATTTATTTCTGTGCTCTCTATTTTGTTCTATTGATCTATTTTTGATCCATTTTGTTTTTTATGCCAGCAACATGCTGTTTTGATTACTAAAGTCTTGTAGTGTAGTTTGATAACAGGTAGCGTAATAGCTTTGTCCTTTTTTCTCAAGATTGTTGTGGCTATTTGGAGTATTTTATGGTTCCATATTAATTTTTGGATTATTCTAGTTGTGTGATAAAGGCCATTGATATTTTGATAGAGATTGCATGGTATCGACAGATTGATTTGGGTAGTGTGGATATTTTAATGCTGTTAATTCTTCTTATCCGTGAGTACAATATATGCTTCCATTTATTTATATCTTTAATTCGTTAAATGTCTTATAGTTTTCCAAGTACAGGTCCTTTACCTCCTTGTTAAAGTTATTCCTAGGGCCTGGCCAGCATGGCTCAATGATTGAGTGTTGACCTATGAACTAGGAGGTCATGGTTCAATTCCTGGTCAGGGCACATGCCCAGGTTGTGGGCTGGTTGGAGACATGCAGGAGGCAGCTGATCAGTGATTCTATCTTATCATTGATGTTTGTAGCTCTCCTTCCCTCTCTGAAAACAATAAAAAATATATATATAAAAATTTATTCCTAGCTGTTTCATTTTTTTTGGATGCAGTTGTGTTTGTTTTTTTTTAAAACATTTTTATTGATTTCAGAGAGGGAGAAGGAGAGATAGAAACATCAATGATGAGAGAGAATCATTGACCGGCTGCCTCCTGCATGCCCCCTCACTGGGAATCGAGCCCACAGCCCAGGCATGTGCCCTTGACAGGAGTCAAACCTGGGACCCTTCAGTCTGCAGGCTGATGCTCTATCCACTGAACCAACCCGGCCAGGAAAGTGGGTTTTCTTAATTTCTCTTTCTTATAGTTCACTATCTATAATAATAAAAGTGCAATATGCTAATTAGACCAGACATCCTTCCAGACGACCTTCCGGAGAAAGCTGGGGCTGCGAGGGAAGCCCAGGTCCAAGGTGTCTGCTGGCGGCCACAGGGAAGCCCGGGTCCCGGTGCTGGTAGCTGGGGGAAGGCAGGCCTACTCTTTTTTTTTTTTTTTTTAATATTTTTTATTGATTTTTTACAGAGAGGAAGGGAGAGAAATAAAGAGCTAGAAACATCGATGAGAGAGAAACATCGACCAGCTGCCTCTTGCACACCCCTTACTGGGGATGTGCCCACAACCAATGTACATGCCCTTGACCGGAATCAAACCCGGGACCTTTCAGTCCGCAGACCGACACTCTACCACTGAGCCAAACCGGTTTCAGCGGAAGGCCTGCTCTTGTACGAATTCCATGCATCAGGCCTCTAAGTATATATAAAAGTCTAAGTGACCATTACAACTGGTCGAATGCATGACTGGTCACTAGGAAAGTGCACTGACCACCAGGGGGCACTCACTGCAGGAGCTGCCCTCTGATGATCAATGGGCTCCCACAGCCAACCTCCCGCCACCAGCCAACCCCCAGTTCCTCCCCGCAGCCAGCCGGTCCCAATCAGCCCGATGGCTGGCCAGGTGAAGGAACCCCACCTGTGCACTAATTTGTGCACCAGGCCTCTGGTTGCTGTATAAAAATGCAACCAATTTCTGAATGTTTGTTACCCTGTTACTTAATTTATCGATTGCAGTAGTTTTTTGATGGAATCTTGAGGGTTCTCTACATTTGGTATCATGTCATCTGCAAATAATGAGTTTTACTTCTTTCCAATTTGTATGTATGTATATATTTATCTTATTGCTGTGGCTAGGACTTCCAATAAGTCAAGTGGACATCCAGTCTTGCTCCCTGATCTTTAAAAAAATACTTTTAGAGAGTATTATGCTAATGAAATAAACCAGTCAGAGAGAGACATATATGTGATCTCATTTATATTTGAGATCTAGTGAACAAAATAAACTGATGAACAAAAGAGCCAGAGACATTAAAGCATGGAATAGACTGATGTACCGTATTTTTCGGACCATAAGACGCTCCGGACCATAAGACGCACCAGTTTTTAGAGAAGGGAAATGAAGAAAAAAAGATTCTGAAACAAATAGTGTCCTAAAATATTTTATGTGCATTAAAACCCAACATCACAGTCATAAACACATGTAATCAACCCTGTAAAGTAAACAGCAGCATTTAGAACCATTTTAGAGCCGGGCAAGCACACAGAGACCACACAGAGCCGGGCAAGTAAAAAAACTTTTTTTTTAAAGTATATGTGTAGGCTATATTTGGACCATAAGACGCAGGGACTTTTTCCCCCCACTTCTGGGGGAAAAAAAGTGCGTCTTATGGTCTGAAAAATACGGCATATCAGAGGAAAGGGGTGGGGAAAGGGGGTGTGAAGAGATTAACCAGTGAGTTTATGTGCATATATGCATAGCCCACAGATAAGTTTGGGAAGAGTTGGGGAGGGGGATGGGACTGGGGTGGAGGGGTTAATAGGGCAGGGGGAGGAAACATCTGTAATACTTTTAAGATAAATTGGGCGGGGGGAACACTTTTAGCTTTTCCCCATTGCAAATGATGTTAGCTTTTAGTTTGTTATATATGGCCTTTATTATGTTGAGGTATGTTACCTCTATTCCCACTTTGCTGAGGATTTTTATCATAAATGGATGCTGGATTTTGTCAGATGATTTTTCTGCATCTATTGATATCATGATTTTTAACCTTCATTTTGTTTCATGGAGTGGTTTTAGGTTTAAACTTTGCTGCTAGGAGAGGAGCCTCAACAGAGATGCAGGAGAAACCCTTGTCCAGGAATGTTTGCATTTTTAGAGGAAGAGGTTAGAGAAAAGACTCAGGTGGCCCAGGCAGGGGAGCCCACTACCAGCTCCCCCCCCGCCCCCCTCCCCCCTCTGCCCCTCCAAGGGGACCCATCCTCTGCCTGAGCTCACTCCCTGCCCTCACAGGGAGGCCCTCTGTCAGGTAACAGAGAGGCTGCCAAGGGGCAGTGGGCAAGCCTTCTCTCTGGACATTGCTGGTGACGAGGTTAGGTGCTTAGTCATTTGAAGACTCGGTGTGGGTGTGACCTTTATCCTACTTTGCATCCTGGGCCTCTGCCTCTGCCACTCTGGCTGCGTGCCAGGCTGAGATGGTAGCCCTTCCAATATGGCAGCTTGCAAAACTGCCATTGTGGCACTGTTGTGCTGTTATTTTTTTAAAAAATAAACTTAGAAAGAAATTAAACTTGGATTCTATGCTTTTATCTTAAGTGAAGAAATGAAAGGCCTAAAATGCCATTGACATTGGAAAGGGCACATTTCTTCGTGGAGATGGAGAAATTTCTAACATCCGGCCAGTTTGCTCCACCTCTGTTACCTTCCTGGCTCAGGAAGGAGTTTCCTTTTGATGCTCCAAGTGGGTGTGTTTTTGTTTTGTTGTCTGGCTGCTTACGCCAAGAAGAAAGGATGTGCGTGTTCCTGCTACAACCACAGCCCTGAAATCTGGCCAGCGTAGAGTGGCAAACTCATCAGACAGTACATGACCGAAGGATCATGTCTGTGTTTGTTATCAGTGGGCTTTCTGGATGCTGAGTTGTGTGGGTCATTCTTTCCTTTTCCTAATCGTGTATTTTATGCACAAGCATGTAATAGTACTAGGATAAGGGGGAAAAGGTATTTGAAAAATAGAAGTAACCAAATTTTATAGCTTTTATTTTTGTTGAAACTGTGGGCAAAAAAAAACATTATATAGATATTTAGAAAGAAACTTCAGAGGCAAACTTGAGGGGCATTTTTTTATTATAAATTTAATATGGTTGATTAATGAAAAATCACAATGAAGTACCGAGAAAATGTCTGTCAATATAAAAATTTTAGCAGCATTTTCAGTTTCAGGCTCTAACATTAGTCATACTTCCTCCCGCTATCAAAAAATAATCCAATGGGATACATCAGCATCAAGATGTTCAGCTTAGTGAAGGCCTCAAGGAAATCCTCAGATCCAGTGTATTATCTGATATCTCAACCGCCCCTTTCCCAAATTTCTAGGATGTCTCCTCAATGTTTGAGGCAAGAATGCCTTGCGGCTGCAGGGGAGAAAGGAGTGAACATAAAACGACTTGATATGTAGTGCTTGAGCGCATGTCCTCTGTACATTCTCTCCACTGACAATGAGCGGCCATGGCAGGGCTGACCAATGCCTGCATGTGGCAGCAGGGGAGGGGGAGGGTGGGAAGGGAACCGGAAGTGGGACGTGCACACGGTGGGGGATGGTGCCTCAGCCCACACACTGCTCGGGGGCAGGCCAGAGCCTGGCGGTATTGCTACATCCCAAGTTAACGGTACGATTCACGAGGAGGGGAGACAAACAGTATGAAAATATAATACTGGCAAACTATTCCCCTGCTTCTTTGGTACTCTCCAAAAATTCTCTGATCAAAAAAGCTAGGAAGCGCACATCATTAAAAAATTACAGTTTTCAGTATTTACAGAAGCAATTATGATATATTACATAATCAATACACAGTATATGAACAAACTTCAGTGAAAGCACTTGGGAACTCCTGTTCCAGTATTATTCAATATCACTTCAACATACACACACCTCCCAAATCTGTATCATACATCCTGTATCTGTTATCTTACAGTATGTTAAATGGGAACAAAGGCATTTTCCAATCTACACTTTCCTTTTAAAAGGTTCTCATAATTTGCCACTGAAATCACTATGTACAAAAATTGGTTGAATACTGAATTCTAGGCAATTCACTCCCATTTTGGATATATTTGCAATAATGCTACCTATTCTATGTATACAATATATATTTAATATATAAGTAACCGCACCATGTTATGTCACCACAATACCAGTTTAATGCACATGATTATGTACAGTAGTTAAGTTAGCTCTGGAGGATGACTACCACCTAGGTGAACTGTGGTCGGAAGGAACCACCTGCAGGGCGTGGAGAAGCTGGCTGGGAGACAGCCCGTGCGCGGGCAGGACGTGTGTGTGTGTGTGTGTGTGTGTGTGTGTGTGTGTGTGTGTGTGTGTGTGAGAGAGAGAGAGAGAGAGAGAGAGAGAGAGAGAGAGAAATGTGGGCACACGCTTCCCACACGTTCCCACGCCAGACTCTCCTCGTTGGCTGGCTGGAAGAAGACAAATCACACATATGGAAGGATCCCGTACACAAGGAGAGCCATGACAGCAGCACTGAACAGCCCGGCCACGGGCACAGTCACAAACCAGGCCACAAAGATGTTCCGGAAGAGGTGCCAGTCCACGGCCTTCCGGGAGCGGATCCAGCCCACAGCCACCACGGAGCCCACCTGAGAGCAGAAACGTTGAACGTTAGAGGCGGCCCACAAGCTCAAGCAGTGTAAACTGGCTAATCCCACATAAATTACATGATAAAATGACCCGTCCTTTCCCCTAACTTTCCTAAAAGCTTCTAAACGGGTTTAGATTCTAGGTATACTGTCTCTGCTTCTGTACCTTATAAACTATTAATGCCCCTGTTTTAAACACTCCCCACATAGGCTACTGCTTACTACAGTATGTAAACCGGCTTTAATTACACAATGAAATGGCAATGATGTATCTTCCTCTTAGAAAAACAGCATCACAACATGTTGGAGCTGGAGAAGACCTTTGAGAGGATGAGATCACACAGCCCCGGAGGGCGCAGGGGCGCCAGAGAGACCACAGGTCACGGCAGTCTGAGGACTAGAAGTCAGGCCTCTGACATTAAACTGGTTTCCTCCATTATCTCAAACTGCCTTCAGTCCTTGCACTTTAGCTAATTTTAAAAAATAGAGCATAAATATTGGATCTAGTGTCAACAACGCATCACAGAGGCATGACTGAGATCTGTGGAAATTAGAGTATCAATACTGATGCAAATATTTTTCTAAATACTTGCAGTTCATTTTATGGTTTACTGAAAGTCTAAAAAGGAAAAAGAAAAAAAAGACACTTCAAGTATCCTAAAAATTTTAAGAAGGTACATTCCTTTTACCATCTCACGCCTCCCTCGGGCTCTGGGGAAGCTCAGAGAGCTTAACGTGTAATGTGGCTCTTGAAGGTATCCGTAAAACAGGCTTGTCTGCTGACCCTCCAATACTTCAGAATCAGCAGTGGCCAGGGAGATTCAAGTAGCGAAAATAAAATCTAACACTTTAAATTGTTTATGGAGGCCAACCAGAACGCCAAAAAAGGTGTCATATTTAAAGGCAGTTACTTATGTGACATTTTGTTGACTCAAGCCATCAAATCCACAAACACTATCTCCTGAGATTAAATTCTTGTTACTCATTGTCTCCCCAGAGCGTGTGTGTGCACCTCAACTGTTCTGGAGTACCTTCATAATAAGGACATAGTCACATTGCTATGCCCTCTTCCTTTCTTAGAACATGAGAAAGGAAGAGGGCATAGCAATGTGTGTGTGTGTGTGTGTGTGTGTGTGTGTGTGTGTGTGTATATATATATATATTTTTTTTTTAATATATTTTATTGATTTTTTATGGAGAGGAAGGGAGAGACAGAGAGTTAGAAACATCGATGAGAGAGTAACATTGATCAGCCGCCTCCTTCATACCCCCCACCGGGGATGTGCCCACAACCAAGGCACATGCCCTTTACCAGAATCGAACCCAGGACCCCTCAGTCCACAGGCCGACGCTCTATCCACTGAGCCAAACTGGTTTCGGCAGAACTTATTTTTTTAAACATAAAGGTAATAAAATAATTTTAGACCAAGTTTATGTAATGAGGGAGGTACAATTAATGAGAACCCAACTACTGTTATATTTATATATTCTTTTCTAGTATTTTTATAAATGTACCTTTATGAGTAAACAGGATAGGCTACCAATTTTCTTTAAAAAATTAACATTATATTCTAAGCATTTTCCCCTTGTACTCACAGCCTTTATGATTATCATGTAAAATGGTACATACTTTAGGTGGATGTACCTTAATTTATTACCCATTTCCAATTTGCTTCCAATTTTTCCATGAGTAACCTATTAACTCATGTCACTTATGTGTAGGCTTTAAAAAATAATATTGCCTGAAATGGATGCTTCACTAAAGGGGATATTTATAAAACACCTTGAAATAATCTGAAACTTAGAGAAAAACTGCAAGAACTCCCACACACTTTACCAAAATCCGCCAATGTTTAACTTTTGCCATAATTTACAAAGAACCATTTTCATACCATTAAAATATCCTGCTCCTCATCAACTTCCCTCTTCTCTTCTGCTAGAGATTAAGCAATCTGATCTTTAATATGTTGGTTGCAAAATGGTGATTTACCAAGGCCTGCCCGTGCACCCAATGGAATGCTGCTTTGAGGAAGATCTTTGTCTCCCACTACATGCTAGGACCTCAGTACCTGCTGCCCAAGTGTTATAACAGATGTGAATATACAAGGTCGTCCATAACCTGTGAACTTCACACACCACAACAATCCTGTAAATTGTTCATTTTTGCCAATCAACAAAAAAGTGTACAACTGTTGCTATAATTTGTATATCTTTGATTATGACTAAAGCTGAACTTTATCCAATTTTACTCCCTCTAGTCTTGACATATAAAAATTGTCTCTTCGTATATTTTGCCCCTTTAACATAATGGAATCTAGATGTAAATATGTCCCTTATTTACTTATATGTGAAAATATTAATGCAAATATTTTCCCAACCCAAGTTTTCCCTTTTAAGTTTCTAATTTTATGCAGTAATAAGACAAGCAATAACAAGTGCTGGAGAGTTGTGGAGAAAAGGGAACCCTGGTTTTCTGCTGGTGGGAACGTAGACTGGGTAAGCAGACTGGCAATTACTCAAAAAATTTAGAGCTACCATATGACCCAGCAATCCCTCTTCTGGGTATCTACCCCAAAACTGGAAAACATGTATACGCAAAGAAATATGCCCCCCTATGTTCATTGCAGCATTATTCTCAGAGGCCAAGACATGGAAACAACCAAAGTGCCCTGTGATAGAGGACTGGATAAAGAAGATTTGGTGCATGTACACAATGGAGTAATGCTCAGCCATTAAAGGATGAAATAGCGCCATTTGCAATGACATGGATGGACCTGGAGAATATTATGCTAAGTGAAATCAGTCAGAAAAAGCTAAGAACCATATGATTTAACATATGTGTGATACAAAACTGAAACTCATGAACACAGACAGCAGTGTGGTGGTTGCCAGAGGGAATGGGAGGGGGGATACAAATACATGGTGACGGGAGAAGATCTGACTTTGGGTGGTGGGCACACAGTGCAATATACAGATCTTGTAACACAGAAACCCACACCTGAAACCTATGTGATCATATTAACCAATGTCACCCCAATACATTTAATAAGATTAGAAAAAAAGAAAAATGTTAAATTCTTCAACCATGAAAAAAAAATAATTTCATGCAATAAAATATTCTGCTTTTTTCCTCCGTAATTTATCCTTAGCTTGAATATTTGATACATATTTAATTATTTTATTCTAAATTCTTAAAACAAAGTCATATTTTATTCTACATTTTAAAATATTTAAAAATATTATTTAAGCCATTAGATATATGTTTATATATTTTGAGAGTTGTAGGTCTAATTTTGTTTTTCTAGATTGATAGTCAGCTAACATCCCTTATTGGTTAAATTTTCTCTTCCTCAAACTACAATATATGCTCAAATATAACAGGCTCTCTCTCTTGCCTATCGACTGTTTTTAGATAAGTATGTAAGTATTTTATTATTGTGGTAAAATACACATAATATAAAATTTATCTTTTTAACCACTTAAAAATATATGTTTTCAGAGAGGAAGGGAAAGTGAGAGAGATAGAAACATCAACGATGAGAGATAATCATACATCGGCTGCCTCCTGCACACCTCCTACTGGGGATTGAGCCCGCAACCCGGGCATGTGCCCTGACTGGGAATCGAACCACGACCTCCTGGTTAACTGGTCCATGCTCAACCACTCAGCCACACCAGTTGGGCCATTTCTAGCCATTTTTAAGTATATAATTTGGTGGCATAAAGTATATTCACAGTGTTTTGCAACCATTATCAGCATTCATCTCCAGAACTTCATCATCCCAAACTCTGTTCCCCTTAACACAATTCCCCAGCCCCTCACTTCCATCTACTTTTAACTCTTATTTCCTTATAATAAACTTTCTACCTGGCAAAGGAAATAAACATTAAGCTTATCACTTTTCTTTTTAGGTAATTTTATGTTCTTGCTAATTTAATATACCAAATGAACTTTAGATTCACTTTGTAAAGTTGTAATAAAATTCGGTTGGGGTTTTATTTGAGAACTGACATCTTTTCAAAATCTGGTTTCCCCATCCATAACAAAGCATATCTCCTACAAAGGTGTTCTTTCCCGTGTCCTAGCTTCCCTCTGAGGAAGCCGAGGGTGTTCCCAGCTTACGCCATCACCAGGCACCAACAGCAATAGGATTATTGAGAAGTGGGGAGACCGGGGAGCAAGACTCAGTAAATTAGATTAGAATTTAAAGTCAGCAGTGTTTCCTGTAAGCTGTGCCAAATACAACGCTAGTTGAGTAATCATCATTAGAAATGAACAATGTGGGTAATTCACACAAAAAGGGTAATCCCAAACCACCCCAATATGGAATTAAAACATTCGGATCACACCACTCTGAATTCCTACAAAAGCGCCCACAAAGGACTATCTGCATTAAATACTGGGGCACTTAGAAGAAACATGAATAAATAAAATCTACCCAGGTAAATTTAAAAAGCTCATTTTATACAATCGTTTCCCTATTTTTTCCTGCCAATTTCCCCACTTTTTAATGGAGGTGGCTCTAAGCAAGAAACCTAACAGGCAGATGGGAGAGGAAGCAGAGAGCTGGACAAATCAAACACAAGGTCTGATCGTTCACGGAAATCTGATGGGATTGTTATGGTTTCATGTGGATGTCAACACCCTTTGAATATTTCCGGATTCACAGCTTCACTCACAAAGGGCCTCATTCTTAATGCCATCCCACGTCTCTCATATTTCATCCCACATTTGCCATTTGGGGACTTGCGAGCAGAAAAGATAATGTGGTGAAACCGAGTGAGTGTTACGGGGCTGGCAACCGTGAACTCTCCTTCCTATGTGGACAGCACGAAGCATCTCTGTCCACACCCCTGAGGGTCCCGAGAGCCAGGACTCTGCCTTCAGCTCCTGCAGTATCTGAGCTGGGCTTTGTCCACAGTCCATGATCAGTGCCTGGACAAACGGACTAGAATCCAGTTGAGCTCTGTCTGCCTCACTGTGGTCCCATGTCAAGGAGACTTGTTTTAAGTGCCAATAAGCTATTCTAACACTAGCCAACAGCTCTCAGGAACAACACCTCGTATGTGATTTGTACAGCTATTCATTCACATCCACATTTATTCACGAAGGTCCTGCACAAACTGGATAACTCCCTTAGTAGCACTTCCTTATTGTAGTATAGATATAAATATTGAGAAAATGACATTTAAGAATATAGTTTTTATAGGCATTGTATACTTTTCATCTAATTCACACATGTATTAAAGAATTTAGTGTTAAATTAGCAAAATTAGTAGTCTCACTACATGTACATCAGCATAGGTTAGCTTACAGACCGAGTTCGGTAAGTAACACCTACAACCTAGGAAAAGCAAACTTGTGTTGTTTTCCAGAGATCTTTCAACTGGTGTGAAAGCACTTGGCCTTCACTAGGCTTGCTCAAGCGCAGGGTTAATCATTAAAAAGACAGCGTAATGTTTATTTCCAAGCACCCCCAAGGACTATTTACGCCTACAGAGAAGTTCAAACCTGACTTCCTTGGGAAGGAATATATTTAGTAACATCACTTCCTCTAAGGCTCCCACACACAGTGAGCTGAAATGGAGGTGGAGTGAGGGGAAGATGATCCCTTTTCATTCCAAACAGTATTGTTGTATTTCAGTGAACATGTGCTCTTTGTAATTTTTAAATAACTGAAATCAGAAAAATAATGCTAGGAGAATGGCGGGTGGTCACCTACCACCTTCCTTTTCCTGCCTTCCTCTTTGGACTTGAAAGGCTAGGGCAGCATATGGAGGTCAGGCTCTGGGCCACGATGCTCAGGCCGGACCTCAAGGGCAACTTGCTAATTCTGTTACCCTACTGGACAGTGAGTTAACGTTTCTGTGTGTCAGTGTCCTCATTGGTAAAACAGGGCACTGCCCTCAAAGGTGTGCGGGGAGATGAAACTTAAAACGGTGCCCAGCAGAGAGCACTTGCCCACACACTTTAGTCACGGTTGGTTACCACGATTCTGATTCTGATGATTATGCTTAGGAGGTCCGGAGCATGAGGTGAAGTTCTGCATGGTTCTATCACGTTAAATATATAATATTAGGAAAGTGACTTAACTCTGGAAACCTCAGTGTTCTTAGATGTAAACTAGAGGCCCGGTACACGAGTGAGATCCGGATGGGGGGGAAGGGGCCATGGGCAGATGGACAGCTGGCCCCGCCCCCTGGTCAAGGGGACAATATGCATATGAGACTTTTATTATATAGGATTGGGAACACCAGTGCCAATTTCAAATGATGGCTGTGGGGATTAAATGACATATTTTGCACACAGTATAGAACACTAAGCACAGTCTCTGACACTCGATATATGCTCAGTAAGTAGAAATAACTTTTACAATGAAAATGTGTGGAAATTGAAGTTATTTTGTAGCAAAAGAAGAAGGAACAGCCTGACCGGGTTGGCTCAGTGGATAGAGAGCATCAGCCTGCGGACTGAAGGGTCTCAGGTTCGATTCCGGTCAAGGGCATGTACCTTGGTTGTGGTTACATCCCCGGTGGGGAGTGTGCAGGAGGCAGCTGATCAATGTTTCTCTCTCATCAATGTTTCTGACTCTCTATCCCTCTCCCTTCCTCTCTGTAAAAAATCAATATATTAAAAAAAGAAGGAGGAGGAGGAATAAGAAAACAACCCTCTCCCATAAGGCTGCCCTTCCATGAGATAGCCCACTCAGAAGATTCCCATAAAAGCTGCCTGGCCCTAACAGTCAAAGTCATTTGCATTTGTTTATAAACACAGTGGCTTGTGTATAAATGTAGAAGTCCGGGGTCATTTCCTGGTGCCTAGCACAGTATCACACACCCAGCAGGTATGAAAGAGTTTTTCTTGAACGATGCAAGCAAATGAACCTAGGGAAAATCTGGAGGTGACTTTGCTTTGTTGAGGTTGGGGAGTACTTTTGTCAACAGGAGGCCCATGAAAGATGTTTGGGAATTTTCCGGACCTGGGTTATCAGACCTGGGTTCTAGTCCTGGCTGCACCCGAGGGACCTTGGATAACTCCCTGAAACCCAGGGAGCCCTTCTCCTCTTCGTTAGTCCTTACAGCTCCAACATTCCGGTCCTAACACAAGGGATCCCCTCCTGCACAGCCCTGAGTTTTACACGTTGGCTGTGAGCAATGGTGAGCATCACCCTTCCTCTGGAATTTCTCTAAGGCAATCCAGTCACTTTGACCACCAGATAAGGAAAAAGAACTGAAACAACTGTGTCTTACAGGTCCATTGAGATGATTTCTGCTTATCTCTAGTTCCACTGTCCACTCCCAGTCCCCTGCAATGGGCTGGCACTGAGTGGCATGCCCCCATTTGAGCCTAGGAATATGGTTAGCGCACACATGACTTCAATGCAAAATCACTGTGGAGACAATGAGAGAGACAGGACACATGGAAAGTGTGAAGCACACGTTGGGGAGGGAAGGCTCTCGCCAGGCATGCGTTGAAAAAGCGAAGTGCACACTGCGAAGCGGGAAAGGTCGAGAGGGATAGTCTGAGGAGAGCAATCGCCCCACATCCAACATGCACACCCGGCAAGCCTGCAGATGACTGTTCACAAACAGCAGCATACACAGCGTCACCAGCTTTTCTCCATCTCCCTGGGTGACTGGGCCATCCCAGCAGCCGGAAGGAGGCGCTGGCAGGGGCCTACCTTGCAGTGAGTGGTGCTGACAGGAAGCCCCACGTTGGAGGCGATCACCACCGTGAACGCGGAGGCCAGTTCAATGGTGAAGCCGCTGCGGGAGGGAGACAGGAGACGCGTCACAGGCGCCCTTTGTGTGGGCCTCACGGACACCCAGGGGCGCCAAAGTCTCACCAGGACATCCTTTGAATTGACTGCAGACTCCTGACTGGGCCAGATGGCATCAATAGAACTAGAAACTGCTGTATAATGGCAGCGATTCACACTGAGGCTCTGCTCACACTGTTTACAGCCCCGAATAGCCTTGTTTTTCCGCTAGGTTTTCAAAACCCACACTGTAGTAACTGGGTCAGAAATTCCTGCTGCGTAGAGAATGGTCACTTGCTCATTAATAAAGTGGCGAACGGAAAACTGTGCTCTCGTTCAAAAAATGTGTAATTATTTACCAAAACAGGTGTATTTTTGCTCAGATGACTAATTTTTCTTGAAGTCAACCTTATAGAACAATCACTGAAACTAATTTCAAGAAGGAAAAGATTTCTTGCAATAGGTAATTCCAAGTTTTAGCTGTATCCTTCTAAAGTTCCCTAATCTAGCTAAAGATGAGTGAAAAGGACAGCGGAAGGACTAACAGAGAAAACCATGAATCTGGGACCCCACCTCTGAGGGCACAGGCTGCGAGGGGAAGCAAGCACAAAGTGACCTCAGCAGGAGGGTGGCAGGTGAGAGCTGCTTCGTCCACCAGGTGGAGCTGGTGAGGCAGAGACTTTGGGGGAAGGCAGGCCCTGGGCCACGGGGGTGGTTTGCATCCCGGCCTCCCCACTTGCTCTCCAGAGCTCACGCTGGGTGAGACCACCAGGGGGAGAAAATGGGGACTCCTGGGTGGGTTCTGTTATCTTCCCTCCTGCTCTGCTTCAGCCTCTCCTTCCCTCTGTCTTCCCACCCTCTCGTTTTCTCTCCCTCATCTCAGTGCCACAGGGATGGGGGCCCAAGAGTGCATGAGGGAGGGCGTTACTAAGAGGCCAGCAAAGGTGGGGTTTGCTAACCCTCCACCCCCTGCTCACTGTGACCCCTAGCAGACTGGCTGAGCTGAGGGGTTCAGAGCATAAAAGCAGCATAAGAGGATGTCAACTCTGCCTGGCCTCAAAGCAGCAGCCCTGCGGCTCCAGCCTGCACCGGGCTTACCTGGATGGCGTGATGGGAGTGAGGTCTTTGCCCATGGTCTGGATCACTCTTCTTCCCCAAACCCAGAGCCCCGTACAAATCCCAACGCCTCCATAAAACAGCAGCCAGATGGGAGTAGGTGCTTCCTGTAGGACTCCACCTTGATCATAAATCAGCCACAAAGCCACCAGAGGACCAATGGCATTGCTGGGAGAGAGAAGAGGTAGATGAGTTAAACAAACATTGTATGGACAAATGACACGGTACACAACATGCAGGGACTTCTCAGTCTTGGGGATAGCCCTGCTTACTGTATTTATGGCTTGCCTATGTATAATCCAGTGGTGATCAAAGCGATTTATCCAATTTTTTTTGTTGTGGTAAAAATATAACAGAAAATTTGCCATTTTAGCAATTTTTAAGTGTACAGTTCAGTAGTATCAAATATATTCACATTGTTGTGAAACATCTTCAGAACTTTTACATCCTGCAAACCTAAAACTGGAGTCATTAAACAATAACTATTTTGCTCTTTGCTCTCAGTCCCTGGTAACGGCCATTTTACTTTGTTTCTATGAATTGGACTACTCTAGGTACCTATGAAAGTGGAATTATACAGTATCTGTCTTTTGAGACTGACTTATTTTATGTAGCTGCATAATGTCCTCAAGATTCATCCACACTGTAGCAAGAGTTAGAATGTCCGTCCTTCCTAAGGCCTCATACTGTACTGCATGCATATACACATCTTCTTTATCCACTCAGCTGCTGGTGGACATTTGTGTTGCTTCCACCTCTTGGCTTCTGAGAATAATGTTGCAATGAACATGGGTGTACAATATCCCTTTGAGACCCTGCTTTCATTTCTTTTGATTAAACCACCAGAGCAGGATTGCTAGATCATAAGGTAGTTCTATTTTTAATTTTTTCCAGACTGTTTTCCATAGTGGTTGCGCCATTTTACATTCCACTAACTGCATAAGAGTTCCAGTTTCTCCACAAATATTGATGTGTTTTTCTTTTCATTTAGTTTAAAATATTTAAAAATTTATCTTGATGTTTTTTCTTTGAGCCATGTGTTAATTAATCGTGTTTTATATAATCTTTACATATTTGGAGACTTTCCAGTTATCTTTCTGATTTCTAGCTTAATTTCATTGTGGTCTGAGAGCAGGCATTTATTAGTGCTATGGTTTTAAATGTACAAGGTTTTAATGGTCCAGAATATGGCCTATTTGTTGAATGCGTCATGTGAGCTTGCAAAGAATGTGAATTCACCTGTGAAAGTCGACAGATATAAATGATATAGAGTTGACTAATGGTATTGTTGAGTTGAACTATGTCTTTACTGATTTTCTACCTCCTGAATCTGTTCATGTCCGCTCTGTCTGAAATTAATGTTAAGTTAGCTACTTATGCTTTCTTAGTGTTAGCATGGTATATTTTCCTCCTTCCATTTACTTTTATCCTGTATGTGTCTTTATATTTAAAGTGTGTTTCTTATAGACAAAATATAGTTGGGTCTTGTTTTTTGACATAGTCTGACAATCTGTGTCTTTTAACTGGTGCATGAAGACGAATAACGTTGACTGATTTTGACATAGCTGGATTAATGTCTATCATATCTGTTACTCTTTTCTATTTGTTATACTTGATTTTTGTTCTATTTTGTCTTAAGTGAGCATTTTATATGATTCTATTTTCTCTCCTTTGCTCATGTACTGATTATACTTCTTTTTTTAACTGTTTCTACCACTAGGTTGGTCCCCTTGGAGTCTTTAACTCTCAGCCTTGTCTCCACTGAGCCTCTAGGGTTCATCATTACAGTTCACTTTTCCCACTGGGCACTGGTTCCCACAGCAGCTTCCACTCGCGACTCCGTGTATTTGACTGTAGCCGCAATCTTGGGGCAGTGGTTTGCCCTGTGTCCTCTTCTCTCTTCCAGATCGAAAAAGAGCTGTAGATTTTGTAGTCTGTTCAGTTTTTCACTTGTTTTTAGGATAGTATGCAACTTCCAAGTTCCTTACATGTGGAGCTACACACAGGCTCCTAACAGCTTCTGTAGCTCCAGGCTCCTCCTCCCATCCCAGTCTAGACTCTGTAGACAGAGTGTGGGCAGCAAGTCACAAAGAGCCAGCTCTCAAGTCTGCTTCTCACTAGCTGTGTTATCCTGGGCAAGAAATGTCACATTTCTGAGATTCTGATTCCCCATCTCTGACTAACATCACCGATGACCTCAAAGGGCTGTTTTAAGAAGGATTAGAATCAATTACAAATGGTTCAGCATGGAGGCCTGGTATGAACTTGACCTTTTGGTGAATAAACAGAAGCCCCCTCTTTACTGTTACATTACTATTTCTAGGACACTGCTTTTATCAGACCATATCTTTACTCAAAAGCTTCAAAACCAGCCCCAAGCTGTAAACAAATGCTCTAACCTCTGGTCAGCTGTAGCAGTTACTGTCTCAATTCTTCCTTTGGCCCTGAACTACTGTTTTGGAATGGTTTTTTATTTCCCCATTAAATGTATTTCTTATCTCCAGTTTAAACTCCTGAAGGACAGGGACCCAATTCATCACACCTCACAGTACCAGGTCTTCAATAACAATTCTCAAAAAGGAGAAGGAAGTAGGATAGGTCCAGGGAGGGGCAGTCAAAACATTAAGACAGGACAGAACATGGTGCCTTGATTAAAATAACATGGCAGCACCTCTATAATACTGCAAAACACAAGATGTCCAAGCTTCCTGTCTGCTGGAGGCTTTAAAAAAAAAAAAGAACAGAAATGCAGTTGTACATGGATAGGCAGTGCATAAAAACACATGGATGTAAAGTGTAGAGTCATGTAACTGGGCAATAAAAAAGTGCAACAGCCCTAGCGGGTTTAGCTCAATGGACAGAGCAACAGCATATGAACTGAAGGGTCCTGGTTTTGATTCCAGTCAAGGTCGTGTACCTCAGTTACAGCCTCAATCCCTGTCCCGGTTGGGTACACGTAGGAGGCAATCAATCAATGTGTCTCCCTCACAATAATGATGTTTCTCTCTCTCTGTCTCTCCTTTCACTCCCTCTAAAAAAATTAAAAAAGAGCCAATGGAAAAATATCCTCGGGTGAGGATTCACAACAAAAAGCAACACTAGGCCCTGGCCAAGTGACTCGGTTGGTTGGAACATCGTCCTGTGACCTGAAAAGTTGTGGATTCAATTCCTAGTCAGGGTACATACCCAGGTTGTGGGTTCAATCCCCGGTCTGGTCATGTATGGTTGGCAACCAATTGATGTTTCTCTCTCACATCAGTGCTTCTCCCTCCTCCCTTCTTTCCTCTCTAAAATCAATAAACATATCCTCAGATGAGGATTAAATTTTAAAAAAAGAAGCAACAATAGCATGTTTTCCTGATTTGGATAGAAACATCAGCCATGCATAATAATTAACAGTAACAGTAACAGTGACAATGCTTAGATACTTGTTACGGGAGGAGCACTGTCCTAAGCCCATTACAGAAAGCATCTCATGAAAACCCCATGACAGTTGGTACTGTTTAGTGCCATTTTACAGGTTGAGATACTGAGGCTTTGTGAAAATCAAGTGACTTGTCGCTAGCTACCTAGCTGGTAAAAAGAGAAATAGGGTCTGTTGGTATCTTCTTACATATTTCCTACATATTCTGGGACTCCAAGATCGTATAACCTTACAGCCTGCCCTCTCCCTCTTGGCTCCACCTTGCTCTTCCTAGAACACACCGGGCATATTCCTAGCTCAGGCCTTTGCACCTGCTGTTCCCTCTTCCTGAAATGCTCTTCCTGCAGATGCTCACATGACTGGGTCCCTCCACCCTTTCAGTTCTCACTTAGTGAGCCCTTACCTGAGCCATCTATCAAGCACCGCAATCCCCAGCTGCTCCAATCTCCTTTCCAGTTTACTTTTCTTTTTAACATCACTGCCCGGCCTGTTACATTACAAGTGCTACTTCATTTATCTGTGTCCTGTCTGTGCCCCACACTCACCAGGACTGGCAGGGATTTTTGTTCCCTGTTTGCTGCTGTAACCTGGCACCCAGAACAGTGCCTGGCACACGCACCCGCTCAATACATACTTGTTGAATGAATGAGTCTCCTTACCTCACATCATTGCCACCATGTGCAAAGGATCCAAAGCAGGCAGTGAGGACCTGCAGAAAGTGGAACAGGAGGTGGACCTCGGACGTGTCTTTCTCATCTTTCTCTTCTTCCACAGGGTCCTCCCGTGGCCGCGCAGGATCTGCCAGCTCCGACGCCAGCTTCATTTCCACACCTCCCTCCTCGGCCTCGATCTCCGCCTCGGCTACCGCGTTGCAGTAGCTGGAGTAGCTGTCGTAGCGAAGTCTCTTTTTAGAATAGGACACGGTGTCGCCCACCAGCTTCTCGCTGTCCTCGGGGGCGGGCGAAGGGTCGATAGCTTTGAAGGTCGAGTGGACCGGCATCCCGCAGATGGCCGCCGTGTAGCACGTGTAGCTGTTGTTCCGCCGCAGGAAGCGGTAGTTGTTCTCGGGGGCGGGCTTCTCCTCGGAGCCCCTGTCCGTGTGGATCCTGTGCAGCAGGTCTTTGTAGAGCCCCGAGTCCTTGTGGACTGTGTGGTACACGTGGCCGTCGCTCCTCGTGTGGCCATCGAAGCCGAAGGTGCCGTTGGAGATGGGTGACTTGGTGGAGCCGTGCGTCATGGAGAGCGCCCTGCCTGGGAGGGGCAGACAGAGCCTTACTGTCCGGCCTCAGGAACAGAAACCCCGTCCGAAAGGACATACTCCCCGCTGCTTCAGGATGCTAATCTCTGCAAGGCTGGATTATGGGTGATTTAAATTTTCCCATATCGGTTTGGCTCAATGGATAGAGCATTGGCCTTCGGACTCAAAGATCCGGGTTCGATTCCGGTCAAGGGCATGTACCTGGTTTACGGGCAAATCCCAGTAGGGGGTGTGCAGAAGGCAGCTGATCAATGTTACTCTCTCATTGATGTTTCTAAGTTTTTATCCCTCTCCCTTCCTCTCTGTAAAAAAAAATCAATAAAATATAATTTAAAAAATAAATAAATAAAACTTTCCCCACATGCCTTGTTTTCTGAATGGACTATAAAGGACATGTAATATGGTTAAAATAAAATAAAAAACCTGTAAACATAAGACAAAAAGGTAACGCTAATAATAAGGTATTTTTGAAATGACATTATTTTTCTCTTAAAAAGTGTCTTCCAGAAATTACTACAGCATTCTTTCCTATTTCTAGTAACTAATAAAGGGAGAATCCGGTAAGGAACTTACTTTAGGAAACTTCATTAAAAGGGGCAAAGCCCAGCTTCCTGGGAGGCGGATATTCTAGGTGCACGGGAAAAGGCCAACGTGACTGTGGAAGGCAGTGTCTGTCAGCTCTGTGGGCTTCCCCTGGGCCAAGTCTGAGGCCGCACCCAGCAGACGGGTGCCAGGCCCCACTCTGAGGGAGGCGGGAAGCTGCCCTGGCAGGCAGGGCAGAGGCTCGCCCACCATCATCTACAAACTTTATGGACCAAAAGACACGCCAGGGCAGGTTTGATGTTTTCAGAGGTTTCTGTGATTCTATGGCGGGAGATGGCCCTGGCTCCAAGTTTAGCTTTCTCCCTGTGCCTTAGAGGGAGGCATCCTTACGAAGTTGGATAAGCCAGCCTCTGGCAGTTAGGTACCTGGACCACCAAACAAGCGAGCACACACGCAGCTGAGCGCACACGCAGCTGAGCGCCCTGGCACCACTGTGCCCTGGCGCCTGATGGACTGTGAATAGTTCCTGGAAGGAAAGCACAGGACAAGAGGAATTCTGCTGTGCTGAAGGAAGGCCAATCTCCTGAGGCCTCTTGAGTTTCTGGGTTTTCTCAAAACATATAATGGGGGGACACTTCTGTGCCTGGAAACCTAGCCACCCACATACAGGCCCCGCTGCTTACCCCGAGGACTGGCTCTCGGCCACCATAAGGGCTCCTGTGGTCTTACCATAAGCCACCCGGGGGTGGTTGATGGCGGATGTGCCTTCTGGGGCCACAGACGTCTCCCCAGCCGAGCCCGTGAGAGGGACGGTGCTGTCATCACTGGCCTTGGCGCCGGGGAGCTCTTTAAATACGGGGGACTCCGCTTCCGGGATTTTACTGAGGCTTTCATCAGAGACTCGCGATAAAGCACCTTCTTTTTGTAATTTGCCTAAAGAAAGTATAGTCATAGCTGAAAATTTTAGAATTCTTGTTATTAAAAAATAAATACAAAAAAAGAATATTTATCTTTATACCTTAGTTCTTACTTTGGAAATGAAACAAAAAAAAGTAACAGCCAGACAGAGAAAATGGAGAGTTCAATCGATTGTCTGGAAAACTTAGGCCAGAAAATTCAGCGACTGAGGAAAAGATGAGGGTGTATGTAGGGCCTGAATTATCTCATCAAAAACCAGCAAACAGAGATGGTCAGATCTGATCCCCAGGGTCCCTGTTCAGAGTGGGATTCTGTAATTCTATAACCATCTAGGGTTCGCCTTCTATTTTCTTAAACTAACCTCAGAATCACTGAAATGTTTATCCTTTTTTGTCTTCATTGATATTGTTATAGTCTGTTTGGTTTTCTTCTATTCAATAAATTATTGGTCTCAGAATTCTTCAAGTCACTAAATCTTAAGAAACAAGTAAATCATTTTTCTCAAAAAACAAAACAAAACAAAAAACCCACCACCACCAACTGAAGATTCTACTTTGAAAAATCATTTACTTTCCAAAGAAACAATAGATTTTTAAGAAGCCTTTTTATAGCTCGCTAGCACTCTTCTGAGTCAAATCTGTTCTGTGGCGCTACTAATATAATGATTTTGTAAAATTCCCTGAGCAAATGTTTAAGCTCTCCCTTACAGCAATGAAATGAAAATGCTCTTCTTGGCTGAAGACACACGTAGTTTCTCTCCCTATCATCTCTATCTCTGAATCTACCTAGTCAGACAGATTTTTAAAAACTAAATTCTTACTTACTACAGGGAACAAGAAATGTACAATACATATAGATCTATTGGCATAGCTCCGGCAGCTTTCTAAGCCATATTCTTCTTTCTTTAAAAACTGTTTTCACTGAGGTAGAACTGTAGAATTCATACATTTTGAATGTCCAGGTAGATGCCCTGTGACAACATAGGAGTATACCCTAAACCCACTCCTGCATTCAGACAGTAATTTCCCTGACCCAGCAAAGTTCCCTCCTGCCCCTTTGCAGTCCGTCTCCTGCGGCCCCGCACTGGTCTCAGCAACCAGTGATTTCTATAGATCAACTTTCTCTGACATCATACGGCATGCACTCTTCTGTGTCTGGCTTCTTTCGCTCAGGGAAAGTCCTGGAAGGGTGTCCTGTTGTGCCCACGGTGGTAGGCAGTTCATTCCTGTATTACTCAGCAGTCTTCTAATGCAGTGTTTCCCAACCTTCTCTCATGATGAGAATCACCTGGTGGAGTTGTTAAAACACAGATTCCTGAATCCCAACTAAGAAGTGCTAAACTAGAATTTTTGGGAACATATAGGTAAAATTGTATACTTAACTAGTGCTCTAAGACAGATTTTATATACAGAGCACTAAGTTAGGTATGCAATTTTACCTATATGTTCTCAAAAATTCTAGTTTAGCACTTCTTAGTTGGGATTCAGGAATCTGTGTTTTAACAACTCCACCAGGTGATTCTCATCATGAGAGAAGGTTGGGAAACACTGTTCTAATGTACGAATAGGCCACAACTTGGTTATCTATTAATGTGTTAATGAGCATTTGGGTTGTTTCCAATTTGGGGCAATTACGACCAAATGATTTGTGTACAAGTGTTTTCATGAACACACATTTTCATTGCTCTCGGACAAACACCTAGAAGAGGGATAATTGGGTCATATGCTAAGTGTATACTTTACTTCATAGGAAACTGCTAAACGAATTTCCAAAGGGGCTGCACCACTTTACATTTCACCATAAATAAAGTTACTCCACTTCTTCACCAGCACTTGATATTGCTAGTCTTTCTACTTGCGGGTGTGAAGTGGTACCTTAGTGTGGTGTTAGCTTGCACTTCCCAGATGACTAAATGTTCACCAGGCTGGCAGAGCTCCCTGGCATAGGTAACTTCCAGTTATCCACGGCAGCTAGGGCCTTGCTGGGTGAGCCAGGCCCAGGAGACAAGGCCTAGACGTGTGTCGCAGTGAGTGTTCTAGCGTTACCCATGCTTCCACTTCCCTCTGTTAGTACGGGTGACTGTGCATCACATCGGAAGTCTTGGAACTCAGGAGCACTTTTTTATATCAGAAAAATAAAAGAGCGCTTACCTGCTATTTTCCTCCGCATCCACGGACACACAAAGAGCCACACGAAAATGGCGAACAGCAGCGCTACGCCAAAGGAGATGAGTGCTATTGCCCAGATGGGGAGGACCAGGCCGAGCACTGAGAACAGAAAGGACAGCAGTGATCTCAGTGGCTACTTTCTGAAAGGTCAAGCCTCACAGCAACATACTTTCCGTCCCTCTAAGTTAAGCCAATCAATCACCTGGAGTTTGTGTTTAATAAAACCACAGCCAAAAACAGGTGCCATGCTTTTCAGGACAGAAAGCTGTGTGTTTTTAAGACACATTTTACCTTGTGAATATGTGTTTAAATTGGTCCTAATCTAATTATTAAAATTTTACCAAATTTGCCCTGACCGGTTTGGGTCAGTGGATAGAGCATTGGCCTGTGGACTGAAGGGTCCCAGGTTCAATTCCGGTCAAGGGCATGTGCCTTGGTTGCAGGCACATCCCCAGTGCAGGAGGCAGTTGATAGATGTGGCAGTTGAGAGATGTTTCTCTCTCATCAATGTTTCTAACTATCTCCCTTCATCTCTATAAAAAAATCAATAAAATATATTAAAAAAAAATTTTTTTAACCAAATTGGCACAAGCAGCATATTAAGTTGGCAATAAAATCATTTACATCTAATCTTAATATCTAAACTCCCAAGTAGACACATGTGGCTAAGAAAGGAGTCCATCACCTCATGTCCTATCACCAGCCCTCTGGGTGGGAGAGGCTGAGGTCTGGACGCTGCACAGAGCCGCTGACTGCCTGCCTCTCTGGCCTCTCACGGGTCAGCCACCCTGCTTTATTTATTTTTTTAATATTTTTTTATTAAATTATTATTTTTGTACATATACCCTTGCCCCCCCCTCCCCCGTACATACCCTCCCTCCCCAGAGTTTTGTGTCCATTGGTTGTACTTATATGCATGTATACAAGTCCTTCGGTTGATCTCTTATCTCCCCCAGATCTCCCCAACCTCCCCACTGTAATCTGACAGTCTGCTTGTTGCTTTACTGTCTCTATACAGCCACGCTGCTTTAAATGGACATGTCACTCCGACCACATACATGAATCTCTTTAAAAATCAGCTTAGGAATAAAAGTTTTAAAAGGATCTTGACCTTCAAACTTAACTCGTCTTTGCAATATCAACTCATAGAATTACAACACAGAAAAGCTTTTCATCAGAAATGCGGTAATGCACTACCGTGCACTTACATCAGCCAACAGAAGGATGGGGTGTACATGATTTAGGAACGCCCTGTTTCCCTGGCACTGTAACATCTCCAGAGCTCATCACTCTGAATCCTTGTCTTCTGTCACTGGTGACAACAGGCACCATTCCACACACAATCACAGGTGTACAACTTAAACACGTGTGCTTACACAGGGGCACACAATAGGCATACAAGAATACCCATGAGAGCACTATTTGTAATAGCAAGAATTTGTGAGACAACTAATATATGCATCCTTAGGGAAATGTGAAATAGTTATAGTCTTAAATCATAAAAATGAGGTGGATTTATGTACTGATAAGGAAAGAGGCCCAGGATCTAGTTAAGTAAGAAAGGCTGGGTGGGTAGCAGTATGCACAGCATGACCCAATTTGTGTTTTAAAAAGATAAGGACCCCACATTTACTCCTATCACATGTGTAAATGTGTAGCAAAAGGTCTGGAGAACACAATGGTTACTCCTGGGGAGAGATGTGAAATTGGAGGGGGCTTTCAATTCTTACTTACATACACATTCGCACTGGTAAATTGGAAAATATATAATAAACATGCACTTTTGTAAATTGTTAAGTGTTTTTAAAAAGTGTTAGAGGAGTGAACTATTTAAAATATCGCCCTCTGCCCAGCCAAGCATGACTCAGTGGTTGAACATCGACCTATGAACCAGGAGGTCATGTTCGATTCCCAGTCAAGGCACATGCCCGGGATGGAAGCTCGATCCCCAGTGAAGGGTGTGCAGGAGGCAGTGGATCGTGATTCTCTCTCATCATTGATGTTTCTAACTCTCTTTCCCTCTCCCTTCCACCCTGAAATCAATAAAAATATATTAAAAAAATAAATAAAAAGTTGTCATTTGATTAAATGAACCTATAATGAAGCAAGCTTGTTACATATGTAATGATTTTATACATAGAAACCAACTCAAAGTTATTCAATTAAGGTATCATTAAATACTAGAGGCCCAGTACATGAAACTCGTGCACTAGGGTGGTGTCCCCTCAGCCCAGCCTGTGCTCTCTCACAGTTTGAGAGCCCTCAGGGGATGTCCAACTGACAGGTTAGGCCACTCCCGAGGTTCCCACCACTGCTGCTGCACTCACCAGATGTAAGCCTGGCTCAGGGCTTCTGGCTGAGTGGTGCTCCCCCTGTGGGAGCATACTGACCACCAGGGGGCAGCTCCTGCATTGAGTGTCTGCTCCTGGTGGTCAGTGTGCATCATAGCAACTGGTTGTTCTACAGTTCAGTCAATTTGCATATTAGCCTTTTATTATATAGGATATTTACTGGTAATTTAGTTAATACAATACTAGGAATGAATTAGCATATATAAATGTGAAAAACAAAACACCAGAAACACCTACTTCATCTATAGCTAAGAGCACACTGGGGGCTAGGTTGTTTCTTTTCCTGGGTACCTCAGAAAGGGGGGGCTGGTGTGGGGCCATGTCCCTTCAGCTGGCAGCCAGCTCCAGCCCTGGCTCTGCCCCAGAATCCAAAGCTTGAAGCTGCTTATAAAACCACTGGGGCTGACCTCACCAGGCCATGCTTGTGGGCCATGGCATCCCAGCTTCTGCTTTCTGTCTCCATGTCAGTGTCTAATACATGTGACAGAGGATCACTCCAAAGCTGTTTCCTGCCAAACTGAATGGTAACTGTTAATTACCCACATCAAACTGACCACCCAACATCAACACGCATCACTCTTACAGTTTAAAAGTACTTGGTTTTTGAAGAGGTTTCCCCTGTTTCCTTTGGCTCCTGGTTTAGTTGGTGGTAAAATTGTCAACTGTGCTACTTTTGACTTCGTTGTGTTAACCTGACCTAAGAGAGGCAAGCCATGGATATTGTGGGGAGAAACAATTTGAGAGATATTTGCTCCATCCATGCCAAGCAGAGCCCACAACAAAAGCCGAGAAGGGCTGCTTTATGGGCCTTTTCCAAGCCCATCTCCACACTCACTGCTGGGTTCGAGCAGATTCCAAGGGTGTCAGGGCCAACATGCCCAAGGGTTTCCTGAGGTCAGTTATAAGCTTCTGATCCTTTTCTTAGACAACAAGCCACAACGTCACCTGCTCCTTGAACCTTTACTGTCAGAACCACCTTTGCCATTGGTCTGGCCTGGGTCATGGCCACAGGCTCTGAAGTTGCCCTCCCAGTCATAAGGCACTGGATGAGAGGGCAGGGGATAAACATGTACCAGAGGGAGGAGGGCAGGATTAAGTAAAACATCAAGGAGGGACAGCGTGAAGGAAAATAGGAGAAAGTCATTGATAGTGAGCAAGGTCAGGGGAAAAGAAGGGACAGAATTTATTTTTATTTTTGTTAATCTTCACCTGAAGACTTATTTATTTATTTATTTTTAACTCTTTTTTTTTTATTAAATTATTATCTGTGTACATATTTTAACATATCCCCCCCCCCCCCCCCCCGAGATCTGTGTCCATTGGTTGTACTTATATGTGAGGATTTATTTTTTCCATTGCTTTCTAGAGAGAGTGGAAGGGAGGGGGAGAGACAGTAAAAGAAACATCGATGTGAGAGAAACACATGTACTAGTTGCCTTCCACACCAGCACTAGATATTGAGCCTGTAACCAAGGTATGAGCCCTTGACTGGAATTGAATCCATGACCCATCAGTCCACGGACTGGATACTCTATCCACTAAGCCAAACATTGTAGCTAGAAGGGGCAGAATTTAAATCTTACCAAATCAGTAACATAATTGAGCATCAAAAGAACATGAGGATTTGTTTTAAAGCTTCCATATGAGAAATGCAAACTGACAATTATCTATACATATAAAAGCCTAATATGCAAATTGTCCCCTCGGGAATTTGATCACTCACTATGATGTGCACTGAACACCAGGGGGTGGTGTAAAATGAAGGAAGGCCCTGGCCAGCAGCGGAAGGAAGGCCAGGCTAGCAGCTGGAAGGCCCCAATCAGCCCTGATTGCCAGCCAGGTCTAAAGACCCTACGCATGCACAAATTTCATGCACAGGGCCTCTACTTTGTAAATAACTCTGAATTGTAATAAACACATCAAATCCAATTTCATGGGTAAAACATAATTAAATACAAAATATCAGCAGAGGAAAGCACTGGAATCAATGTGCATCTGAGGGAGAACTTTTTCTCCTGGAAAAGTTAAGGCTGAGTTACACATAACAAGATTTTTGACAGGAATACTTGGTATTAAATTGTCTTCCCCTGAGGATCTCAAAATGTTTTGCAATAATTACACCTTAGGAGGGCGATAAAGCACGGCTTGTCCTTCACTCTGCGGACAAGCAAAGTAGGACATGGCTTGAATTGCTCCAGCTGCCGCAGCCCAAAGCACTGCCAGGAACCAAGGCCGGGAGCTCTGAGCCCGTCCTCCGCTCCAGCCGTTCAGGGCCCTTTCATCTCCAGCCCTTTCCCTTCTCTGAACAGCAACGCTATGATGAACAGTGATTTAGCTCCAACCTCAAGCATCATTACAATCCTGTTCCAAATGCCCCAAAGATCAGAAGATTCAAGTGACTCAAGCAGTAAAGAGAGCATTTCAGAAATGAGCACAGTCTTCCAGAGTCATTGCTTTGTTACACCTCTTGCTTTTCATCTTTGACAGTCATTATTAGAAACTACAAAATAACTAAAACCGTTATACAACCAGTAAGGCTTCAGCCCATATTAACTCCCTTACAGCCCTACGCATCAGCTTCTCCCTACACTTTCCTTCTTTTTTCTCCCTCCTTTTAGTATAATTTATAATATATGCTTGCTATAAAAATGTCAGCAGTAAAAAATCGTACGAGGTACAAATATAAAATTCCTCACCACACTCCCCTCTTGAACCCACTCCCCAGAGAAACACTGTCAACTACCTGGT